CACATATACAACTCATATATTGGAGAACTCACACTAACAAATTATATCTAATCTGAAAAGCTGTGTATACAAATCTTGCAAGAATTTGGATGATTTCATGGTTATCCTAAGACAAAATATATGTAGGTTTACTGATAGGCGAGAGGAACTCGAATTGTGGTTCAATGCAGTTAATTCGATCAAAAAGCGGTTTTCTAATATAGTTATATGCTGGACAAACTACCAGAAAATGAGTTTCATCTTCAACAGCATCTATACATATTTGGCAGGTTCTATTTTCCACTGGAGTTCCATAATATCTACCGGTCGCAATGTGTAACTTATGATTAGAGCACCGGAGTTTAGTTACATCAAAGTCCATGTTACTTCACGATCGTTTAGTTGGAGAATAAATTCTAGTTGAGTTTTTTTCTTTAGCGTTTGAAGTTGGCAACAACGCCTCCATTTCTCTCTTATAAATACATACGGTACAACTTGACGTTTCGAAGATAGATTCATTGACACATGTGTCCACGCGTAACTAATTGCGTTGTATTTCAAATTTGTCAATACGGAAAAAAGAGTAAACATGAAGTAGTAAGTTAATGAGTGATATATACACATGTGCATTTCATAAGTGCAAAACTACATCACTGAACATGCCTCTTCTAGATGGAAGTTATACCGACGATTGAAAACAAAACAAGGGTCAGTTTCGTAACCTATTTTGATCCTCACTGACGTACAGCTACAGTATGAATGTACGTTCACAGTCAGTTTGTGTTTGGTTGTCATTCGTATATTCAGGTATATCTGTATCAAATATAAAATTTTCCACAATCGTGTTTTGGTCCTGTAAAAACTAACATCCGGGTATCCAAATTGGACATATTCTATCTCTAGTTGGTATGAATAAAAAATCGCAAAGATATAAATATACTGCTGTAACTAGGCAACGTATCCTTGGCTCCAGTAACATATGTTTGTATATATTTCAAATTAGTAGAGGCTTGCGTGTCCCCTTGTTGCGATGCCGACCATTACAACTGTGAATTTGTGATCCCCGAAATTGAAAGTCTATATAAAATTGTGAGTTTCCATCGTTTTTGTTTGTTAAATAATAATATTTGTAAAAGTACAATATCCGTCCTGTGCATCTGAAAGACTTGGTGAAACATATAACGAAATGGAGTATTGTAATCTAACCATCTGACTTTATAGATAGTTATAAATATTACAGGCTTGTTGTTAACGATGTTTCGACGAATGTCTTCTCTGGATTTATCTATCCAAATTATACAAAGTGACTAATTTGTTGTCATTTCCCTAGACTCCATACATACATTGTAATCGAAACCCTTGAACCAGGCTAGCCGTCGCTGCGTAATATGTAGCTAACTCATAGCCCCGTTCTCATTCTAAAATACCGAATCTGTCGACAGTTTAATAATCACTCTATACTAGTTGAATTCTTTTCACATTTCTTTGTAAGTATAATGTTGAAATTCAGACAATGCGTTGTGAATGTGTTTTAATTATTATCAACAAAAAGGGGACTATAGTTTTGACAACAATCAATAAAGTATAAATTGAATAATAATAGGTGAACACAGTATTGATCAGAAGTTAAATATAAGCCACGTTTTGCAGCATAGTTATACGATCTAATGCCTTACAAGTTAATGTCCCAAAAGTTAACTCACACATAAAAACATTCGGTATACACAGGTATGTCACAGGAGATAATAAAATTGATAAATTAGTAAGGTGTGTGAAATTAGATTTCTAATTGATTAAATCTCTACTGACTCTATATCACCCAGAGACTTGAAATAAAGTGATGTAGTTTATTCTGTAGTTGAAATAAATGCATTTCTTATTTGAGCCAGTTACAGATTACGTGGCAGTGTAAATTAGGGTACAACGCTACAAAAAAGCTGATGATCACTCTCATTCATATGACACCCAAGAAAAAAACTAGTTACCGGATCTTCAGGAAAACGATTAACAACAATTTGATTAGAGGTATTGTTTCCGACAGTATACATTTTCTTATGTATTACTTTCAATCACGATGTAAACGGGGGGGGGGTGGTTGAGTTAGAATTAGTTAATGCCATGTACATGATCGCAACATTCTCCACATGTCTGAAACCAATTGTGACTCGTTGCTCTCACTTGATAGCTATCATAAAATACAACGATAACATACATGTACCATTGTCCGAAAAGTCGTAATTATTGTTTAGTCACACCATGTGTCTAATTTCCAAAATCAAATATTAGTGTTGTTTCTTCGCCTTGCAAGTGTGGCTATTTTACTGTTAACAATATTATTCCAAACAATATTCTATATCTGGGATAATATGACAAATTTGTATGGCCAACGTCCACAAATGACGATATCTCATCGTCGACCGGGATCGAAACAGTCGAATTAAAGTAACATTTGTATTTCCACTAGAGGGCAATTGAAGTACTACGAGGTCACCTTGCGTGAAACAATGCTCCAATTCATCTTCTGGTTAACTTTATTAACATCGATGTTCGATGTGACAAATACTGAGTGTGAGACTAAGGAGGGGGCTACTTAAAATTCCTTTCAGATAACCCCTTTACATATCTTCACGGCAACTATCTGGAAAATCGAGGTTCGACTGGTTCATGTTGCCGTGTGCCGAGAATTGTGCGCGAAGTCTGCTGATGCTATACCGTGTTGACATGCGCACGGTGAGAGCCAGTGACTGTCTTTGCAAACAAGTTACAGCAACTTCAAACTTGTGAGGAAAATAACATGACTTAGACCATGTTCACAAGCTGGGGGAGGTGGGTTCTCTGAATAAAATATGGTACGCAAGTAAAAAAACGCGTAAAAGGGGTGTTATTTAATTATTTGACGCGTATACACGCGTGTACTGTGTTTAGGGTCGAATATTTTAGATGTAACTTAGAATATAGTAATAAAGTGTGAAAAAGGGAATCTCATGAATTCATGTTACCTCAACTTGGAAACAGTATGATTTTAGTATGTATATAGGGTATCTATTTTAAGTTTGTGCACTTGAAAAGGGGTATAATTTCACAAAAATAAGTACGTGTTTAGCATGACTACCAAGTCTTGTAGTACCGGGGGGGGGGGGCTGTAACCAAACTTGTATATGCGTCACTACTTCGGAGGCTTTACGTTAATCTGTATTGGGCTTCCAATCAAATATATTGTAGATCAGCCTGTACCTTTCATACGCATTGGTTCGAATCCATTCGTTTTCGCTAGCCGAGGACGTAATCAATTCTCTACAACCACAGAGCGTTACCGTGAATAACTCACGTGAATTGTTAATAAAAAGATAACATATTCGTCAATTTACCTCAACACTTCTAATTTACTATGCGCTCATGTAACAAACCATGTCAGCGCTGGTTTAGCAGTAATTTATTTGATATTTACAATCTGCATTTATACAATGAGGGCTGTTATAGCGAGAGACCGATAGTAAAAATGGTCGAGGTCGCAAAGTCAAACAGATTATTGCGTGGAATGTTGCAATAATATGGCACAAAAGTTCAAGCGTGGGAACACTAACCTAATCAAACCCAGAACCAGGTTATTGTGTATAACTCTTTACGCGTGCCGTTTACTTTCGATTGATGTCAATCAACGTTGGAAAATTTGTCGGTAATCGCTTGGTAGAATTAGAAATGTGTGGTTTTTTTTAAGAATATGCGTATGGCCTAATGAGTGGCCATGTGGCAAAGAATGGCATGCAAATGAAGTTGAATGAAACGTGGGAGATTATGATAGTCGGACGCTATATTACGCATGTAAACCCTTGGACCATATTTTTTCTTATTACCCAAAGTTGACTTTAGTGTTCAAAGAGGTCAATTCATATACCTTTTTTTTAACATGGCGTTCTATTGTTGTCAGTTATAACATTCACAGTATTGAATCAACATGTGGTTGTCATGACATTTTATGGTGATTGCCAAATTGTTTCACGTAATTTATCTGGGCATGCAAGTGACACGTGTTACAGTAGCGAGGTCACCCTGAGGGTCACAAATTCCACTGTAATCGTGTACGTACGTACCCTGCACAATAGAATAGTCAAACACTGTTTTATGTAATAATTTATTAACAATAAATAGACAATGTGGAACGATGTAATATAGTTTATCTTTAGTTGAAAATCTTGTTTGGCAACAAACATACTGTATACGTTATATGATATACTGAAAGATACAGATGCGCACGCGTCCCGGATACGTACGTACATGTAATTAGCAGCGCATGCGCACTAGCATTTTGATTTCTCGTCGAACGAATCCTGTTGTGTGTGTATGTTTTCAAATTATAATAATATGCAAACATATATCAATCAAAACATTGTAGTACATTTTTAGGCACTTGACTTCTGTGGGATGTTTAACCGATTGTACCATTGAATTTGGAAAATATTACACAACAAGATAATTGTTACAGTTGTTGTGACTAAGAAGTTGTTGAATCTGTGTTTTTTCACTTGCGTTTTTTCACAGCAGTTTTAAAGCGGGGGAGTCGTCACCTGCG